ATATTCCGTGCATCGCACGCGTGAAATTTCTAGAATTATTGAAAAAGAAAGACATTGCAACATGAAAACAATTAACCATTTGCTTTGATTATTTTGATTTGATTTTTTCAGAAATTTTTATAACTCCATAATTAGGGAAAACATTGTGGTTGGACAAAGAGTTGAACACTATAACATTTAGTTATAACTTATAATTTGATAAAAGTATAATTTTTCAGACATTATATATATATTAAATTTACTAAAATACCATATACAAATTAAAAAAATCTCTCTACTAAATTTTCTCTAAAATGATTTTATCCAAGTCACTCGAAATTCAATAATTTTTACGTGAAATAATCATAAAAAATGAGTTTCGTTTATTTAATATTTATTCAATTTCATTACGCCTTTTTAATTATTCAAATTCATATCAATTCGATTTTTTTCCTCAAATTTCAAATTTATTTTAGTTTGAACATGTGAAGATTTTATGGGCCCGTTTGATTGCTCTTAATGAGCCTCTTAATGACAACTTTGCTGATTCGGTAAGCATTTGGACCATTCAGGGCATTTGGTAGCAATAGCTGAATGGTTCCAAAAGGATCTGAACTATTCAGCTGGAAAATCAATGCTGACCGAATAAGTGCATAAATGAATGAGAATTATACCCCCACTACCCTCGTTTATTGCCACCTCGCGCAATGCACCCCCTCTTTTTTTCTCAAAGTGTTCTCCACTTTTGAATACATTTATTAATTATATTTTATCCATCTGAGTTATTATTTAATTATTATTTTTTGTCGTGATCCATTATCAATTTGTCTCTTAAATATTAAAATCAATTTCTATTGTATATTAACAAAATTCTTTCATTTATTTTAACAAAATACGTATGTAAATTCCATCATTTGTCTTAACAAAAAATAATATGCGTTACTTGTTTTTTAAAAGTCTTCATGGAGGTTTCAACTTTCAACCCAAATACTTTTATTTTTGTCCATAAAACTTCCTTTGAGAGATCTAGAATAATTTATGTGGAATATTTTCGTATTTTACAACTTTAGTTAATCATGCTAAAAGGTTATATTTATACATATATGTCTATAATAATTCCATTAACAAATATTTTAATATTTAGCCAAGGTTAAAACAGTAACATAATATTATTCAGACATTATTGATCTTAAACCATCAAACGAGCTTAATGGTTCATCATTTAGTATTCAGAAACTACTCTTAACCATTCAGCTATGAATTCAGCATTCAGCATTCAGTGCTTAATCGTATCAAACATGGCCTATGTCAAATTCGAACTTGGAATGCTAGGGATATTTTTATTGTGTGATTTTTGTGAAAAAAATTAGGGAAATAAAAGAAGGGTAGGAAAGGAAAGAGAAGATTGTAGGGAGAAAAATATTTTTAATTATGTGCATGATTTGGTAAAAATAATGTGGGATTTAGCATATATATATGGGGGCAACTATTTCAAATACTAACTTTTGCTTACTTGAATACTACCAAGTTTAAAACCAAAATTGAGTACATATTTATCAGTTTTTTCTTACTTTAATACCAAAATAAAAAGAAAATTACAAAAACACCCTTTCATACAAAATACCAATTATATCAAATTTTATTAGAAATTACCTAATCAAAAACCAAATAAAAAAAAAGAAAAAAATCCCTTTGTTGTAAAAAAAAAACCTCCAACCCTCTCCAACCCTCGCCGCCGCCGCCGCCGCCGACGCCGCCACCGCCGACGCCGAACGCCACCGTACGCCGCCGCCGCTTCTTCGTCCATTGTTATCAACCCGCCGCCGCTTCTTCGTTCCGGTTTCATTCATCCAAGTAATAATTTTTTTCGAATTTTTTTTCTTTAATATTTACTTAGGATTTGATTGTTTGATATGGGTAATTAGGATTTGATTGTTTTAGGTAGAAATGATCGTTAATTAGTAATGGGTGCATCTAATTTCAGTCGATTTGAGCATTGATTTGAGATTCGTGGGTTGGTTCTTCGTTCACAATTTTCGACCTGTATATGTCGATTTTTGATGAATGGGCGACAGCTTGATGTCGAAAATTCATCAAAAATCGACCTATAGTTGTCGAAAAATGTGAAAGCTTGAAATGGGATTCTTTTGATAATTCGACAGATAGCTGTCGAAATTTGGATGAGTT